CGGGCGTGGTCCTAAGACCAAAGGCTCACTAGAAAATCCCAGCCTAAGGAACCCGAACACTCTCAACTACCTAACCCGGGGCGGTAGGTACCCAAGGGAACCACCGCTCCGAATTGGGATCTGGCAAACGTAAAGCCTAGAGGAAAGTTGGGCGGTGGTGAACATGGAGGCCTCCCCAGAATTCCCAAGTTGGAACGTTGATTTTGCTGTGAGACAAAGGCAGAAAGTCGCTTTGACTCACCTGACATGACCTTTGCTGTGTCGTTCAAAATGGGGGGATCCCGAATGGTAGACCGCAGTGGGACACTACAACAACAAGAGAAACCACCTAGTCCATCTGGCAGAAGGATTAAGGATCGATCCGCCCTACCCCAAATCGGTCGCAAGGCGAGGTCGCTCAGTCTTGGCCCAAATCCAACGATGTCGCTCGGTCCTCATCTGGCACATACATGCCAGCAACTCGTGTTTGGTACCTTGGCCGCCATCCACGCGCGGGGGAGACGGGGGTGGGGTGCTCAAAATGGCAAACCCCTCAAAGAACCTAGCACCCCCCTCAAAGAACCCCCCCCCAAACCTGCACGAGAGAAAACAGGCCAACCCCCACCCCCCTTCCCAAACCCCCCACCCCCGCGCTGAAGGGAGAGGAAATGAGGCAGCAACGGCGAATGAGGCCTACCGGCTGGAAGTCCTTGAAGGGCCCGGGATTTGATTTAGGTGGTTTGGAGCCTGGTTTCCCACCCATTTATCCTCTACAAGAACCAGAGACCCGTTCAAATCCCCACCCACTAATCCAAACCACCAAAGGGTTCCCTGAATTTAGGGCCGAGGTCTTTTAAAACACACCCGAAAGGAAATTAAATGAACCCGCAGTGGCCAACCCCGGCAATAGGGGTGGTCCCTTTGATTTCCTTCGAAACGACCCCCAGATTTGGGTGAGCCGTCGTTAACCCAAAGGGTTCCCTATGCAAGAACTCGTGAACCCCTTTAACCACCAGATCGATGCAAGCAAACAAAAGTCTTCGCTTAGAACCCCAGCCCAGTCAGGAAACCCTCAAAGTGAACTCTTTGAGCGATATGGAGAAACCAAGAAGTGGCCACTGGAGGAAGCTTGAGGATCCCGGAAACAAAGCAACTCGGATGAATCCAGAGGACTTCACTAATCAGGGAGGGCCTATTCCCTTTTTCGTAAGGAGTTGATCTATTTTCAGGGGGTTCCTTTGACTAATAAGATCCTCCGGATCAATTGGGAAGGTGATGTTTTCCCAGCGGCGAGCAACTTCCCATTGCTTACGTGGGCCCCAGGCTTCCCATTTTTTACACCCAAGGAAAATCGCCCAATGATAAGTTTAGACCAAGAAGTGATGCTGAACTCAGAACCGGCCAAACAAATCTGGTGCCCGGTCTCTTTCTTGGTTTTAAAGGGAGTTGAAGCCCTTCCCACATTTTTCACCGCCAAAAAGGGGTGGAATTCACTGGGCAACTGGGAGATCACTGTCACTTAGGTCCAAGCTCCTCCCAGGGAGGGTCCAGCAAGATCACGTCGAACTTGGTACCCAAACCTCGGTTTGAGCTGTGGCGAGTGAATGTTGCACTAGACTCCCAGTGGATTTCCAGACTTGTTGGTTGTAAAGAAGAGGCACAGCTTTGCCGAGTTGTGCATTGCAAACGATCCCCCTCCCCAAAAAAACAAAAACCGGACACTGGAGGTCCAGGAATATGAAGTGAGAACCGCCTCAGAGAACCCTGGAAGGTGTCCCGAACGGCTCCCACTTCGCTCCGAGCTCCGGGCTGGTCAGGTCGAAGCTCCTCAGATGGACCAACTCTGCCAGGGAAACCCAAAGCCCCACGAAAAACGGGAAACCCGAACCCAAAGACTGCCAGGGAAACCCAACCTTCCCAAACTTCCGGCCCAGGGGAAACCCAAACCCAAGGCTTGTTTTTGTTTGGACGTACTTCAAACGGGAACTCGCCTTGGCCAAACAAAACAAATGGCCGACTCGAAAGCCGAACTCACCTCCAAGTCGGCCAAACAAATGATGCCAACTTGCAAGACCAGTGGATTTCCAACAAAAAGGGCGCCCTTGTGTTGCCTTAAAAGGGACTCTTTCCCAACAAGAAGAAATCATGCCGGGCTGCCGGCCCAGTGATTCTTTCTGCAAGGATGCCCCTTGCAAATCAAGCCAAACATGCGAAACTGAGGCTGTATGCTCCCCCGCCCTCGTGACGGACTCCCAACCTGAACCCTCTTTGCTTCCAGAAAGATCTGCAAGGAATCCTCAAGGAAAGAGGCGTCCACCCCCAAAACCGGGGGGGTCGGTGTCGTCCATGTCGGTTTCCACCCCGAAAGCCACAAATGAATGTAGACCACAACCTTTACAGCCTAAGCCTTGAATAGGTTGATCGGCACTGCGCATGCCTTCCCTAAAACGGTTTAAACTACAAGGAGGTAGCGGTCAGCAACCATGATTATTACTTGCTCTGGGGACTTGCAAGTATGGTATTGAGATGGTAACTATTTACTTGCTAAGGACTCTTCAGTTGCAAATCAGACTGCTACACGCAGTCAAAGCTCCCTTGTGGATCATGGTCCGCAGAATGGCTGGCTGAATTCCCCATACAACGGCGGAAGATCATGCCAATCCGAGCAAAGTTGGACCATAGCCTCAATACTAAGGCAAATAAAGGGCATGGTTTAGGTGGACATTTGGTGGGGATTCAGTGTGGTTATCAAAACAGTGGGGGCCTCCAAAGCAGGTTGTTTCCTGTCCACCCAAACTTCAAAGAAGGCTTCCCTCAAAAAAAGACACACCTTGCCACAAAAACAGCGCGCTTAAACCAAAAACCTGCTCCAGTGCTTCCAGTTACCACTATTAGTAGGTAAGCAAGGGAAACCCATCATACGGGGTCTCCTTTTTGCGGGCACCCCCCCTTTTTTGATGGTTTTAACGGGGGAAACGCTGAGGGAAAACCACCGTTTTGGGGGTCCCAGGTTAAAAGGACCAAAGCAGCCCTGTAAACTCCAGAGTTAAAATACCTGGCTACCTACTAGAGTGGCTGGCAACAAAGGACACTTCCGCTTTTCAGGTCCCGTTTGAGGTGTTCTTTGATTTGTGGGGCCGCACAAATCCCCCCAAAAAATGAATCCAAAGACCAGCGCAGTGCAAGTCTCTTCAGATCGCACTTCAGAGACATCCCCGGCGTCGCCCGCTTCGAGATGATGTCGTCCTGGCTCATGTTCGCACGTAGACTAACTGAGGGTTTCCGTAAAACACTGAGAAAAAAAGGCGGCGATCCCTCCGCTTCCGCGCCGCTTCCGCGGCGCAAAGCGTACCTTCTGCAGCATCCATAGCTGCGAATGCTCTTCATCTGCTCTGGTCAGCTGTGAAATTGCGATTGGTGATTCAGCAGATCCAGACCAAGGCATCTCCTTACAAGATCTCGAGAACATTCCGGGACAGGCTCTTGGTTCCAGTTTGCGGGCTATGCCAGCGATATGGGCATCGTTTGGGCATCGTTCGGGGCATCGTTCAAACCAAACCGTTTTCTTGTCCAGGCATGGTCAGTTTGATTTGTACAACAGCAAATGAGTTGGGTATCGGTTGGGCATCAGTTTGGGTATCGGTTTGGGCCCTGCAAATGTCTGATTCCGCAATCTGGGTTTGCGACAACAGCTTGGACCTGACATGTGTCTTGATGGCTTCTAGGGGTATCGTTTTTTCCTCTGTATCGGTTTACAATGGTTTGGGCCAGCAAAAAACAAGTTAAGGGACGTCCCCTTACATAACGAAAAGGCGCGGGGTTTTTATTTCAGTGCGCGTCGGGCACTTTCCGAGCTCCGGCTCGAGAATCGAAAATTTTAGTACAAATGTAGTACGCGAAGGCCACTTTCTCAGCTCCAGCTCGTTGATCTGGAACTTTTCATACACAGATGTAGTACGCGAGGTGCACTTTCCGAGATCCAGCTTGAGACTCGTAACTTTTCGGTACCAGCGTGTAACATGTTTAAAGGCAAGCCAATAGTTTGAAAGAACATAACAGGTCGCAGCTTCCGCGCCGCTTCCGCGGAGCTTCCGCGGCCTGCGTTTCACTTGCTTACCAACATAACCACCGCCACTAGCCACTAAAAAACGAATACAGCTATTTACGGAAAGCCTCAGTAACTACGCACCAATATGCGTGCCCTTCGTCCAAACATTTATGTGTACTGGCCTGCTCGTCGCATGACAGACCCCTTCCAACTTGAGTGGTGGTCAGCACCCCGCATTATGGAAACCCTTTTGCTTGCACGGGTCAACGAGCAACTCTATGTTTCACGGTGAGCTGGTTTCACTCTAGCGCCTGCTTTTTCGAAAGCAATCATGCAGCCCAAAAAATAAAGCCCAAAAAGGCTCTCCAAAAAAGGAGACCCCTCACGAGGTATGCAAATTATCCTGTGAGAAGGCGCAAACAAGCCAAGTTGATAAGCAACTGGGCTGCCCTCAGATTTCGCGCTAAAAGTTTAACTTCTAGCAAGCTAAAATGAAAACCACCACTAAACACTAAAGGCTAGAAAGCTAAGGGGATGGCCGGGAGCCACCAAGGCAAGGGCTGTGGAACGAAATCTATTTTGCACCTGGATGAATTCTTCTGCTATTTCTATAGTTGAGCGACCGAGCCTCACTTCCGATCGAGTGGATTTGCCAAGAAAGGTCTGATTTTTTTTTACCACCAAAATGGTCTTACCACAAACAGGAAGTGAGTCCTCTTACAGTTGGCATGTATAAAACCCTCCAAACTCTGCCACGTTATCCCCCGTTTCTTTATTCTTTTGGTTTCCCCTATTTCTAGTTGATGACACCTTCTGGAGTGGGGGACCACCAAACTCTCTAAGCCTTTGTCCCCCCCCCCCCTTCGCCGACTTGGGCCCGCTTGCTTCAGCCTGACGGCATTTTTCTCCGCGGCCCCGCCTTGAGTTTGATCAGCCGCTCGATCTTCGGGTACTCCGAGTACCGGTTTTGGTAATCCAAGTCCCGGATGAAGTTCTGCCTCGGTGGTATCCCCAATTTTATTTGTGAACGCGGTTGGGAGGTGAAGAGTGGTTGACCCACTTACCCTTACGAACGGATGAAAGGCGTTTTGGAGGGCGGTTTGCCCATGTTGTACCCTCACGAACGGGTACCCCCAGTGGCTGCCCTCTCAGCACTTTTAGCCTTGAGACCTTTAATCAGCTTAGCTTGCGATTTGTGGTTTGGATTGGGGGGTTTGGAGGTGTGCCGGGGTCCCATTTGGCCATGGGTCAAAATCCAAATCGTACCCCAGCGAACATCCCAATCCCCACGAAAATAGACTAAAATGGGTGGACCCACAGCCATTTGAGAAGCCGGTGCAACTGCCGAAACCAATCCAAACCACCCATCAGGGCCACCTGAGGTAGGAGTCGAGGGGTGTGGAGCAAATGCTTCCGGGCACTTCGCCACGGTAACCAGGCAGAACCGTCCGTGGTAAAGCCTGGTAACGCATGGAAACCATCAACCAGGGGTCACTGGATGTCCCCCTCAAAAGTTGCACTTTTTTGGTGGTGTCTAACAAAATTGCCACTTTGAAGGGCCAACAAGAGGAAATGGAGGGACCCTTGTCACAGAAAGTTGCCCCAGTCGAAGAACCCTAGCATTTCGACCAGGCAACCATGTACCTGTTCCAACATGCCAGTCGAACTATATACCAACCAGCACCCGGGTCCCAGCAACTGTTTCAACCACGTCCAAGACCACAAGTCCAAAAAGCAGTGGCTCTGGGCTGGTGGAAGGGAACCCTTCAACAGGCAAAGTGTCCAGCTCCAGGGCAACCACTAGACATCCGTTGCCATCCGCTCAAGGGCCCAAAAACCGCCGGGTGCAACCTGCCAGCCGCTAGCAAGGGGGATCAATGAGCCCAGTGAGTCACTTTCCCGGTAACCAAGGTATGTCCCACCCTTTTCCCGATGTGCTACATTGATGACTGACAACCACCGGCTCAGAAACAACAAACAAACATCACGTGCATGAGGCAAACAACACATCCCAACCTCATGTCCGGAGTGGATGGGGAAAAAAAACATCAAACTGTTTGCTATAACTGGGTCCAGACCCAAAAAGTGGCTCAAGTCCGAAATGAAACTCAGGGAGTGACGTTTTTCGTCGCCTCGGGTTTGTGGAGCCTCCGGGTGGCACCCTTCGCCACCGGGGAATCCGACGGTCGCAGGCCGGTGTCAATAAAGGTCTGGCCTCGGAAAGCGGGGGCAAAGTCGCAGGCCTCCGGAATCAAAACGATTTGTTTGGCTAGCAAAATACATGTATATATATATATATATTCATATATATATATGTATATATATATATTATGTAAATACGTGTGTATATATATATATATATGTTAGTGAGTCCCTGTGCTTTGTGGGAAATTGAGAGACTGGAACTTGTGACCGAACCTCACATGCACAATGCGTTATGGGTTGTACTACAGCTGTTGGAGACCGGCGGTCATCCGAGGTACGCCCAGAACCATCCTGATCTGAGGCTTGCAGCTGCACGATCATTTCGGTACATAATTCCCCAGCATCAACCGCCTCAGCCATTGAGGGCCTTGTTTGGCTACTTGAAACTTGATGGCAAATCAACCTCAATTTCGCCAGATTTAAATAATATTAGATGTGGGTGCATTCCACAACGCTATATTTCTTGCCCTTAGTAGCCATGCAAGCAACGGCGGTTTTGGATGCCGCCACATATGTTGCTTTGTTCCCAACATATGCTTGGTAGAAGTTTCAATGGGGCACCGCTTGGTGGACATGACTTAGCTGCAGAGACATGTCCGACCACACGAGGGGGGGCTCCTTATCAAATTCATGGTCATATTTAGTCTTTCTCAACATACAACATAGTGTTCGAGAAGACCACACAATTTAAACTGTTAAGCCTCCAACCTCTGTGGGGTGTGTCTCTTGGTTTAGTGCGTCCTGAAAGCGGGGGGTGTCACACGACCAAGGCTCTCCAAGCGATCGAGTAGCATACCCAATATGTCCTGTCTTATGTGACCACACATTTGGGGATCTCTCAGGCACGGGCGAGCCACAACTGAGGGTCCATGGGAGACAGGTGAGCCAACGGTCCATGTCGGAAACTTAGTGTTATATGGGGGGTGTCTCAAAGTGGGAATCGGAAGCTTCAAACTGGCAACGGTTTCCTGGCGGTGCTCCTTTTGAACCAACCAACCCCAAAAGGGCACCCTCAAAAAACACGCGCACACACACACAAGCTGGGAGTTTGTTTGTGAGCAAAATCAGCAGAAGACACCAGGTTCCACCTGACCTTTGCAGAAACCAAGTGAACCCAAATACGTTTTAGTAAGAAATCCAAAGTATTTACCGTTGATGATTTGAGTTGCGGAACTCTCTTGATTTCCCTTGGCGAGAAAGTGGCAACCTCAAACAAAGTTACTTACCACGGGCAAATGGCTGTGGCTCAAAAAATGTGCCCAAATGGCCCCCCTGGTAAACGGAAGCAACAACTAGAAGGAACACCTCTGGTTCCCGGGGGCATGGTTCTGGCAGATGAGCGCCTTAGTTGTGATATGTGGATTCCGATCCCCGCAGTTTTTCACTTTGAGGGGGTATTGCCTTGGTATCACAGCAGCCGGCAACCAAAAACTATGCAGCCCAAAACCAGGAGCGAAACGGATTCCTGAGATCCACTGGGCTGCCAATTCCCATGCCCCAATCAACATGTCTGGTGTTTGTGACCATCCCGCTGACTACCGTAAAAATGATGGTAGATTTATGCAAACAGGGAAATGTCTCAAGATGGGGGCCCCCCCAAAACGGCGGTTTCGCCTTGACTTTCCTTGACGCTAGCCCAAAAAAGGGTACCCTGAAACGAAAAAAGGAAAAACACATGGACTGTTTCTCATGTCTCGTTCGCTGCCCGCTGGAGGCACGGCAGTAGTCGTTGCGCGTGAGGAACTTGGAGCTAACCTACGGCACTTCCGAAAGCGCAACCAGGGTTGGTTGAAGATGCTTAAACGACCAGACCTGTTTTGGCCCTTCAGGGGAAGCAGGAATAAGAGGTTGCAGGGTTTGGCGAAATGTGTAGACAAGCAGACCTGAGTTGGCCTTGTTTAAAGGGGGGCCAACATCAGGTTGTCTAAACAATCATAGGTGTTGAAACCATGACTTAAACAAGGGGTTGAATTGCTCTATCCGGTACAGTTGCAATCAGTTTGGGCGATGGGGGCTCTTTACACTTTGCGTGATCATGGCGGAAATAGTATGAAAATCATACACCTAGGGACGGTAGTGTGCACGAAGACCACACGTGAAACGTACCTGAAGTTTCTGGAGGCGGCGGAATTCGGGCTGGTGAACTGCTCAGGGCTGGTGAACGGCCTGCTTAGAGAAGCCCGACTTGGCACATCACACGATAACACCACCCCCGAACAACTGATTTCCCATGTCCAAAAATCCAAAGTACTGTCCAAAAAGCAGTGGTTGGGGGGGGCTCGGGGGGGGTGGGGGGGCTGGAACACGACTGATTCCGTGTCCTTTTTAGTCAACCCTACAAAACAAAAACATCCCAAAGGGGTCCCCGACCCCCTGCACGCAACAAACCTGGATGGGGTTGGTCGGCCTTTAGGATGAGGACCCGAGGCGCGTTTTCTCACGCTGAGCTTCGGTGAGCAGCACCTGAATCAACCCCTTTGACTTTTGCCAACGGTCATCCGTTTCTTTATCAATATGAAATTCCATGAATATGGATTGAACTTGGGATGGATATGAATTGCATATTCATTTATACTCATCCCAACGTCAGCATTTGAATATGAATTTGAATGGGCCCTTTTTTTCCGACCCGAAATGGACAGAGTTCGGGGATGCCCAACCACTTGCAGGGCTCCCTATATTTCCCTTTAAAACATCACCCCCATCAAGGGATACTCACCTTTCATGGACCAAAAAGGTGATGTTTAAAACCACCAGAAAAGGGAAATATAGGGACCCCTGACTTAGGTGGCGGCTCCACTCTTGCACCAGGTTCGGACCTTCCTTCAAGCAGACAAGTGGACTTCGTTGTCTCCAAGTGAACCTTCAAAATGGACGGGCAGCCTGTCTTGAAAAACGTAAGAACTATGTGTTCGTGAACCCTCAAACGGCCCTTCAAAAAGGGAAAGCACCCCTTAGTTTTGGGGCAATATCCCGTTGCTAAGGGTAGTTTGAGGGTCCAGGTTCCCATTAAAGGCGACACATTGAGCTTTTCACTAAAGTGCTTGGCTGAGCTTTTGCCTGTGGTTCCTCGTTGAGCCAGTGTGAGAGTTCCACTCGCGGCCGCCTTCACGTCAACACCATCGTCCGTTGGATACCTGAGCGTAGCCAGCTGCAGGTCGGTTGGAAAGTAGTGGCATGAAAAGTGAGTGGCAGGACATGCTACCTGGAGCCTCCGCGACCCGTCCAAAATGGAGAACCTATTACCTACTGTAAACCATCAGGACCATGACCCCATTGTCGAAGGGTCATGAAGACTCCAGGTAGATGCGGATATCACCAAACACCCAACAAGGTGATAATATCAAAAGTCTCAAACCTCACTTCCGTTCCCTGTAATTCGGTCCAGACCCAAAAAGTGGCTAAAGTCCATGAACTCGGGAGTGCGATAAACTCTGGAGCAAAAACAAGCTGGTACACGGCTAGACACAGCAAACTTACTCGTCAAGAAACCATAACAAACCTGTCCCTCTGCACTGTCCCCGAATGCGTGCAGATGTCACAGCCGGAGGCCCGCACATGTGCGCCCAAGGGTGACCTGGCGCAGCTATGTCGGAAAGGAATCGAAAGGATGCAAACTGTGCAACTGGGGTTGTGTTCGGATGCATCCCAAACCCCAAATTGCTGGTTTGTTTGTGGCGCAAGCCTTACAATGCGTGCGGATGCGTGGTTGCTTTGTTAAACTGTAGAAAACGACGCGAAACTTTAGTTGGCTCCAGCGAATGGGAAAGGACCCGGCACCCTTTTGCAATTGGTTGGATTTTGTATACGTAAACTGGGGTTGCTAAATATGGGGTCAACATTCCAGCGAGCCCTCTAACCGGAGAACTTACTGAACAGCTGGATGACTCAAAGGCGGGCGTTGCAACTGGTGCCTTCCAGCCGCGCGGTGCAAATTTCTTTTCTTCCCCGTTTCGGCGGCGAGCACCGGATATCGTTCGGCGTGTCGCTCGTCTTCCGAGTTGGGATCCAAACCCGGCAGCTGCCCGGCAGCTCACTTCCTCCCAGGCTCGCGTTCTCGCGCACGGCCGATCGGCCCAAACTTTTTGAAGGAGCTTCGCTGGTGAAGTAGGTGTTGAAAAAAACTACCCAAACCAATCCAAACTAATGGTAACAAAGTAACCAAACAACATCGAGTGGACCAAACAAAGTAACCAAACTTGCGAGTTGCCACTCAAATAGCGAAACGAGAATCAGGAAACCAGCTAAGCTGTTTTTTCTTCTGCAGCCCAGGCATGCTCAACCCGAAACCAAGTTGCCGAGGTGCAACTTTGCGAACAAGGGGGCCCATCTTTGGATATACATGCAAAAACCAAGAGCTGGCACCACCTCAACCAGTGGTTGGTGGACACGAATCTCCACCCAAAACGAGGTCCAAAAGGTCCCCCATTAAAACTCACACTTTATTTGCTAGCTGGCTCAGATGTATTTATCCTTTCACGGGCCCTGTTTCGGCTCCCACCGGTGGCTCGGAGCTGAGGTTTCCCATTAGACCCGAGTCTAATCCCCAAATGGAGGCTTACCTGAATCGTGGACCGCACCCCTCCAATTCCGTCCTTCGTCCCATGGAAAACGCACAAATATGTCCAGTGATAGAGTCGCTGTAAAACCAGGATGGAAAGGGGAACCAACATATTTCAGCAACTGGATTTGCAACTTTTGTGGAGGTTACCTTTTTGGATGTGCTTTTGCCGCGAAACCAACAGGACATCGCCTGTTTTCAAGGTGTCCAGCCTCAAAAAATGGACGAGCGCCTTTTTTGTGAGGCTGTGTCCAACCTTCAAAGAAAGAAAAGGAGACACCCAGAACTCACCTGAATCGGGTATCCAAAAAGAGACAAGCCGCAAGCCTCCCATGTGCAGCCCGTCGCCTTGCTCGTTCTCAGCAGGGAATGAGAAATGGAATGACCCCTATAAGCCATCCAACTGGTGGCTTCCTTTATTCGGGAATCCCCCAAAACCGGTTCATTCCCTCAAATTCTACTGGTCGCCCATTTGGCTTCCGCAAACACCCGTCCGAGTCCATCACTCAGTCACTCAATCAATCGTCCTCTGGATGAGGTCCCACTTGTTGCCGCTGATGTCCTGAAACACCGCCACAGACCTGGGCTGCCCTCAGATCCCCCGCTAAGAGTGGCTGACTTGTAGTGGGTTAAATACGGAAACTACCACTAAACACTAAACAAGGAAACACCAAAAAAAGAAACACTAGTCACTAAAAAAGGACACTACCACTAAACCCCAAAAGGATCTAAAGAAGCTTCGGTGGCTGGGAGCCAAGAGACCCATAGCTCTCGTGGCGCGGCTCCTCCAAAAATTTCACCCCCTTGGCCTGGAAGGCCTCCGGTGAACCGCTCCGCGCGGCGCGCGGGGAGAAAAAGACGAGGGACACTTTGGGGCCAAAATGGACGTCTAGAGTTTTGTGTAATTAGAAGGGGGGGGGGGGGCACAAAATGGCGCAACAAATTGGCGATCCCATGTTCGAATCCTTCAGGTGACATGGAACAAACATTGGTGAGGGCTCCCAATTGCCCATCCTGTTGCTGTCCCCTTCGGCGTAAAACGACGCTTTTTGGCAGGTAACTAGCCCTTCGGCATGTGTTTTTCTACCGGGTTTGGCCATGGATGGTTTTCCCTTAGCGGCGAACCGAAGGGAAGCACTGGCAGCTGGCCTTGTGATCCCGCGCGAAGTCGTCAGTCTCCTGAGACGAGAACTCCTCGAATTTGTTACTGAAAAGTGGCAAGGCACCTAAGTGGCTAAGCACCAGGGTTCTCACCCAAAGCCATGTTTGTAAGTTCCCCTGCAGTGGGATATAACTAGGGTTACTAAGCACTTTCTACATACCTTGCTCCCTTGTACGGCCTCTTCAGTCCCGGTGGATCCATTTCCCTCGGCAACCACCCTAGCAAAAAGGAACTCCGGCCAACCAAAACCACAAAAAGGTAGGGTACGCTTTTGGGACTGACGGAGGATTCACAGTGTCACGAGGCAAGTGAACAATACCACAAGGGGATTTACATTACGAGCTGCAAAGAAAGAAGACTCGAGGGTGTGGGGGGTTGGGGTTCCCTCCCCCATTGCGTCCAGCTACCTTCCAAAAACACCTGAAACCATTATGAGAGAAAGGCGAAACTCTCCCATCCAGAGATATGTCTTCGGCGATTTCGCGCTGCGTGTGTTTTTCTCCTTTTTGTTTTTTTAAGGAACGATATAGTGAAATCCCCCAAAACGATCACATTGCATGGCCATGTCTGAAACATCGAAGAACGATATAGTGAAACCCCAAAAACGATAACTACCTGCTCGAAATCGCCCAAAGAAGCCGTTGGTTTTGCCGCACAAGCGAATCCATTTACCTCTGTTAAAGGGAAGCGCCCTTCAATCTGTTAAAACTAGAAGGGAAATGGCAATGACATTTTGATGGGGAACACCCTACTTGGTTGGAAGTATATCCCCACCCCAAATGGCTGGTTACGTGGGGCGAAATGCCATGCACCGGGTCCCGGGTTGAGGCAAGGCTCCAAAAAGAAGCCGACACGGCCTCCGCACTGGTCCCCCACGCGTGCCAGCTGCTCCTTCCAACAGGGCAAATTGGTCCAAACAAATGGATCGGGGCCCGTAGGAACACATGTTCAATGATGTCTTTCAAAAACGAGAAAATATGAAAAGGGAAAGGGACAAGTGGAAACACAAGTTGCTTAAATGGTTGATTGAATTAATTCATGCACCAGTGCGCCCATTGGCCCCATGAATCACCCGAATATGACACCCAATGGGCCCCCGTTGTTCTACACGACCTGTGACGCTTTTGGGGTCTTACCAAAGACCAGCTCATGATTCCAGGTCATTTTGGCAGAAAACAATTGGGCCCTGTTTGGCTGTGGCTCCAACAATGGTACCCAAAATGGCACCTTGGTATATGGAGAAAAAGAGAGAACTAAACTTGCGTAACCCCAGGTGTGTAACTTTGAACCAGTTGTGTCTTAAAATAGGGCAACCCAAAATTGGTCAATCTTCCTTTTGTTTCCCTTTGAGGGCTCGTCTGACCCCAGCTCTTTGAGCCACACCCATATGACAGCCCCAACAGAAATCATTGGATTTCCCTTGAAACGAAAGCCACCTTGAGAGGAAATGACTCGGAAACCCTGGCATACCCTTTGTCGCTACCCCTCTTTTGAGGTCTTCTTGGGAATCCCCTAAAACTCACTTCCTGAGTGAGCTGACCAAAACAAGTCTAAACTTTGTATTTACTATTTACCACTAAAATGGTCGTCCCACAAAGATTAACGTCCCTGAACTCAGGAAGTGAGAAAAGGCGACACCAATTTGACACATAATGTTGACCCCAATATTCATCAACCCAGCTCATCAATAGGGGACTGTCCTGGGTTTAGTGGGGACTCATCACTGTTGGAGGGAACACCCCCCCAATAGTAAGAAACTGGAGTTGATGAATATATATGTATATACATATGTATATATAGAAAAATATGGGGTCAATTATTCATCGGATTCAATACAAACAATGAGAAAAATGAACACCTTGAGACCTCCAAAATGGTAGCTGTCCTCTTGGATTGGTATAGATGGGCGATGTTGACCCCATATTCAACCCCGGCGTGTTAAATTGGTTGATCTTGGAAGGGGAGCAACAAGTTAAATTTTAGCAGCTAAGTAGTTGGTGAAAGCCACCAAACCGCAATAAACAAACATGTAAGATGTGTCCCAACAACAGCCACCCAGAAAATGGATACCAACTCGGAAAAAAACAGGAACCACATCCATTGGATTCAATAGAAGCAACCAAACAATTGAACACCTTGTCTTGGATTAGATGGGTACTGTTGACCCCATATTCAACCCTGGTGTATTCATTGGGGGGGTTGTCCCTGGGTTTAGTGGGCAATATTGGGGTCCACATTTTGCGCCAAGATAGGGAGGCACCCCCCAAAATGGTGAAAATGTCATGGGAAATGTTGCCCCCAGATTCAACCCCGGTGGATTCCTTGGGGTCAACATGACCCCCGTCTCTCCCCTTCTCGGCCGCACCTCCCCTTCCGCTTTGGCCAGCAGCAGCCCAGCGCCAGCCGCCGGGCACACCACCACCCAGCGCTTGCCCCGCCCACGCCTCGATCCGTTCGAAAAGCGCGGCTCGGCCGGTTTTTGAGGGGGCGCCCACCCCTTTTTTGGGGGGCTTGCCTTGTGGCCTTGCTTGAAAACCAGACTAAAAAGGGGTCTTATTTGAGGGTACACAGTCTTTTTTCTGGTGGCTTGAAGGGAAACCGAAAGGAAAACTGCCAAATATAAGGGTCCGATTCCTGGGAAGGAATGCATCCAATATGGGTGTGAACTTGAATGGACACATTGTCTTCCTATACACTCCATGGAGCCAGGTAGAACCACCTGCCAGTTTGGGCGTGAATATGAGCGTGAACTTTCATAGGTCCCGGACTGTTTCATGTTTTCCTGAAGCTGTTTCTTGGGTTGGTTCGGGACACAAGGGCACCAGCCTAAAGAAATCGCCATCTGAAAAAAAATAACTGGTATTCCCAGCAGGCTCAATGGCCGAAATTAGTGATTTCATTTGTTGATTCCCATCCACATAACTTGAGTTCCTTATTTAGGGATTCCATTGAAACTCACAACGGGCAAACTCAAACGAGCAATTCTGAGATGCCCCAAACCACTACCTCCCCCCCCCCCAGGAAAACCGTGCCCTCTAGAAGCAAACATATGGATACATATCCTGTGAAACCCCTCAGGGGGCAGGTGGCTTGGGGGTGGATTCCGAAACGATGCGCTCTCCGAATAATATAAGGTTTGCTCAGCAACTAGACAAGGGTTGGGCAATTGAAATCCAATTTGAGTGATGTTTACAATGTTCATAGACGAACAATGCTAGTATCAAACCGCAGTCGATGGCTCACTTCCTGAGTGGATTGGCCAAAAGAAGTCACCAAGATTTTGATTAAGAACTAAAGTCCAAACCCAACAAATGCCTAAAGTCCGTGAACTCAGGGAGTGAGAGTATCTATCTGGACCCTCAAACTCGCCTTAAGAATGGCTTATTGCCCAAAATTATGCGCTAAAGTACTTTTCTTGTTTACGAGTAGTTTGAGGTTCAGGTCGCCTCAAAAAAGGACGAGCTTTCCATTTTGAGTCATAAGACGTTTGTTTGGTCAACACGAGCCCCTATTGGGGGGAAAACCCTTTACAACCATAGCCCCAAGCGATGGTTTGGGGAGGGGGGATTTGCTGGGGACGTGGTCCGGGGGGGAGGTGCCCCAGGCTTTTTGAAGGAAAGAAGCCCGCTTAGGCGTTCAACTATCCACCCCCTCTTGTACCTACCTTGTTAGGATTCCAGAATTGTGATTTCTCTCAAGGGGATGGATTTCCCAAAACCCCTTGTTGGACCCCAGATTTTGCCAAGTCACTCCCCAGGTTGAAAGTACGACCAGGTTCTCACTTGAATGACTTCCGGTTCTCTAAGATGGCTCCTCACTCACTGCCAAAAGGGAAACCGGATGGCATATACCCAATATATGGTGATGTAGTGGCTGTATATCCCCATTAAACCCCTGGGGTAGTGGTTTGGGGTAATGGAAACCATCTTAGATGTTCTCTGCAAAATTGACCCCCAAGCCCCATGATTTGGCGCTAGAAGATGAACCCGTTTCGTTTCGGGAACCCTTCAAAAAGAAAAGCAACTCGGCTCTCAACTGCCCAGCCCCGTTGTACCTACCCCCCTTATTCCATAAACCAATCTACTGGTAAAGTGAGTCAAACCAGGTTACACCATGCTGAAGCCAGAAAATGAAGCGCACCTGGGCAAAGATCCTGGCTTGGCCATTGGGGTGGGGGGGCAGTCCTGTAAGATTTCATATATTTTCATAATAAATTGGCAATGGAGGAACCAGGTTGGAAGATTCAGGAACCCTAAGGAACCCATTTTTGGCTCTCAACTAAAAATGTTCTCCCCCCCCTAAACATCCACCTGGTACCTTGTACCGCCCCTTGTACCAACCCCCCCTTAAAATTGACCCACCAAAATTCACCACACCTGGGTTTAAGTCTACCCTGGGTCAACAAGTGGAACCCTGCAATCGATACACTCCCTTAGACTAACATGGAAGGCCTCTGCAAATCGATTTCCCATGTCCAAGCTGCGGGGTGTCCTCCAGCAACTTCAAGCCCATGGCGCCCACGAAGAAGGCAATGGCTTCGTCGTAGTCCCGCACCAACCTTACCCCCAACGAGCTTCTTCAAGGAAAGAGAGTAGCAAAACGAAGAAAACGACGAGATTAATTTTAAACAATTGTGTGAATGATTCGGTAGATGAAAACATATATGCATCAATATCGAATAACTAGCTAACTAACGATTGCTTCCAAATATGTGTATATACAAAAGACAAAACACATCCACAACAAACAAGTACATACACGACTACACAAATAACTAAGTTGATCAATCAATAGTTTGCTTGCAAACAACATAACCACAATACATGTACATATTGTATATATCTATGTATATATATATATGTCATGTGCATACGCACATATATATATATAGGTATATATATATATATGTATACTGAATCTGGCCATGCCCCATGGCTACATTTGTGCCACGTGGGGGACATGTAGTTCCTGGAGATGTGGTAGATTTATACGCTTGAGAATATTGCTGAACATTGCCAGCTAATGATGCAACACCGATGCCGATCAACCTGCAAAACCGATACTGGGCTGTTCCCAGTTCCAAGTGTCAGTGGGTTTAGTGGAAACCACCACTCAACCTAAAAGACTAAAACCTAAGGAACCGGATGGCTGGGAACCATCAAAGGGGACTACGATACCCTAGTCATATTGGCCGCAGCAATATTGGGCGGAGGGACATGAAAAGAAGAATCAAACAACTCGCAAGGGCCGCTTGAAACAAGAGAGTGGTTGTTTGAAAGGACACCCCTTCCAGCAAGGCGGGCATCTTAACCCGGGTCTGGGTCGCTGACACCCGCCAAACCAGCCTAAAGCACTTGCATGGAAAATGAAACTCTCACCTGGACCTATGGACCCCTTCCCTTCCTCCATTTGCTTAAGCCCCCTGGAAAAATGAAAAATATTTCCAGTAGTGATAGATTCCCTTTAAAACCAAAAAGGGAAAATAAAACATATTCTTGAGCAAATGCAAGCCTTTCAGATTCCTAGTTGGTGGTGAGCCGGTTCCATCCCTGAGCCCAGGGATCACAACCTTTTGTCTGACACAAAGCTCCATGAGTCGCCTAAAGGAGGGGAGTTCGACCCGACCGGGCAGCAGGGTGCACGTGGACAAGCGCGAGCCACCCGAATCGGACATGGCGATTGGCTCTTGCACGCGAGTCGGCGTTCAGCTCTTGACTTGGTTGCTGGTCGTTCGATCGAGATAACGGTCCGAACCTTTTGCATGCCGCTAAACTGGTCCGTGCCCAAAAAGTTACCGTGAGAGTAAAATGGGGGAACCCAGTCATTTCGACCAGAGTTGACTGCTAAGCTTCTTTAGAAAAATTTGCCTCCTGCTATTCTCATATGCTGCATGTAAGGTGCCATCTGGCAAGTGACCTGGAGCCGACCTGCTCGCAGTGATAGATGGAAGCACGCGTGCTCCAATTACATCGTCGCCAACAATGTTGGTCATTGTTTCAGCTTCTGAGCAACCATGCCTACTTCCTGCATTGTGCTAACATTGCCATCCTGAATCTCCTTGAAGCCCCAATGGATCCACCGTGTTGTCGTGGGTCAGTTTGGCAGACCTTACCTGTTTTGCCCGTGGGGTCGCAAGTCATGCCGATGCCACTGCATCCCTTCGGCCTCCATGAGGGTATCCAAAGCCCGGATAAAACCTGGCGCTGGCGAGGTGTGGGAGGGTGCGTGAATCTAGAAACCACTCGACTCCATGCCCTTTTTTACTCGGTTCGCCAATCGTTCTTGAAGAGCACCGGAAATCATTGCTTCAAGTAACCATAGAAGTGAATCGCGCAGCCCACTTGGAGACTTGCCCCGTCCTATAAATTCTTAAGAGCAAGACAGGCACTGATTCTCCCATTCTATTTCCGGCCGAGGGGAGACAGGGCAATCTTTTTGGTAGTTGGGAGTGTCATGTTTTTGAGTTGGTGCCTTGTTTGGTGGTTTTGAATTGAAACCAAGAGGAAAACCCAGGCTGGGTACCCGAAGAAGACACCCAGTTGATTTTAGCGGGAAACTCCTTCCAAAAACAAGGGCAAGGGGCACAGAAGTCTTGGTATGGCACAAGACAAGCGATGCATCCACCAGACATGGGAAACATATCCTAAGCGGTTGCAGCTTGGTGGGGCCAACCAACTGACAAATCAGACAATGTTTAGCAAGCCTCGTACAAACACATAGTAAAACCAACCAAACTACACAAGACCATCCATCTTGCAAGTGAAAGAAACATGACCAGGCATATAAGACCAAGCGTTTTTTGTTTCTATGGCATTGGCCCCAAAAAAGATGTCCTGCAGACATTTCCTACTGGTTCCTATGGCTCGACATGTGAACAAGACCTCGTGTGACACAAAATGGGTGTCTCTTTTGGGGCTACCCTTTTCTGCTTTGCTTACAGGGTAATCAAAGGGAAAACCACAACTTTGGGGGGTCCCACTCACTTCCTGATTCGATTGGCACAAGACAGTCCACGCTATTTTGGTTTGCCACTAAAATGGTCTCCCAAAAAGCGACGAAGGGTCCAGGAACAGAAAGAGACAAACCCAGCTAGAACGCTCCATCGGTATGCCATAAACCGCAGGTGTGGCGCTTGCTGACCGCCGCGCTGGGCATACTCACCACCACGCTCGCCGCCTAAGCCGAGAAATGGCTGCATATCCATGAAATATCCAAGAGCTTGAATGGGGCCTACTTGGCTTCCCAGGGTACATTTATCTCAACGGGGCAGCGTTAGGTCAGCGCTTAGAAACCTTGGTGGTAACCCACCGAAGCCACGGTTGTATGCCTGGGCGAGCTACTATTGCAAGGGTATTGGCGCCAAAAGTGATCCGGACTGCCGCATCTCTATCTATTCAACCAACCAGGTTGATTCGTCAGGGTTTCCTTTAAAAAGGAACAACCTCTTACAGGGTCCCTGAGCTCCGGAAGGCTGGCAACCGCCCCTGGCTTGGGCGAGGTCCATGTTGCGCGCGAGCTGTCAACTGCGGCGCAGCAGTGGAAGTCCTTGAGGCTCCATTGGCGCGTTGCGTGGCAATAGCTCCAGCTGCCGTGGAACTTGCGCCCGGTGGCCCGGTGTCCGACCAAGCGACCAATGGATTAAACGCCTCAGCATTGCCGTGATGACTCATTGGTGACCCTTTGACATCCCTGTTCATGGTTCCCTATCAGTCAGGAAGTGAAGGGTGCACTAGGCGAATGTGCATTACACTCTGCGTCCATCTCGAAACAGTTTGTCCGCAGCTACAAAGCTTGGCATTGGCTAACATCTGGGTATGCAGAAAACCATACCTTCAGATTCTGAATCATTTTTACTCTATCCTGCGCTTGTTTATCTTGTTTGAGGAGGCCCCAAAATGATGCCGACGTTCACTCCAGAATTCTTCGGTCAACGCTTGCACAAATCAAAATGCGCGCATTCGCTGCGACTCGCCCTTAGGAGTCACCCGCGCGTCCTCGAAGAGGAGAACGTGCAAGTTACGCGTTGCAATCTTTGTTGATTTTAACCCGACTAAGCTCTCCGTTCGGGGTGGCTCCTGAGTGGGACCCGGAGCCCAACTCAGCAGTGAAAAAACCTGTCACCCGTAAAGGTAATTACTCAAGCTTGCGGAATTCCGCCAAACCAAGGGTCGCTTACGCCGGCCTTTTTTAGAAGATGGAGCTTGCGGATAGCTTACGCCTCGTGGCAGGCATGTGTCAAGTTGCTCGTGCCTAATCCTCCGCAGCAAGAGGCAGGGAAACATGGCAGAGCAACAGCTTGCAGATGGAAAGGCGCGAAGGCTTTGCTGTGCAGGCTCAGCAGTGACATGGAGGGCCAAAAGTTCGTGAAGCCCAGGGAACGTTTCGGGCCCCGAAAAAGTGAATTTCAGTTGGGGGCTCAGGTTGGGGTTCACCAACCATAAAGTCTTCAAAATCACAGCCAACGGAAGGCGCTGTCGACTCCTCCAAACTCCTACTAGAAGTTGGACCCATCCCCAAAGGCTTGGTGCAAGTCGCCTTCCCAAGATGTGACAAAAACAATCTACCCTCTGGTCCACGTTGCCATGGAACTTGACGTTTTCGGATCCTGGAAGACGACTTTCCTTTCGAAGCGACCCTCTTACCAACTGAATGCAAGGAACAGGTTCATATCTACCGTGGCATCTCGAAGGAGACTGAGCCGAGCGCCGAACAGGTGAGTCATAATCAAAACCGATCGGTATTAAAATGGTCTGTCCACCATAAAGAATTATTGGCGGATAGTTCTCCGCACCCATTTGTTGGTGGGGTTGTTCCTTTCCAATCCGAATGGGCTTTGAGCAAGTGGCTCATCGATCCCCTTGGGGAGCGGTACCTCAAAACTCCAACTGGGCCCAGGGGTCCCAAGTCGTACGCTCTGAGAGGACTCGTAGTTTTGGAGACCAAAAAATCCATCAAGACCCTTTGAGTAAGAGAAATGTTTGCCGTGGGTTAAGTGGCCCCCTCTGCAAGACCGATGCAACACAACTATGTGCACAGTCGTGTATGAGTGAGACAGTCAAGTCAATCAGAAAAGTAAACATGACACAAGACAGCAAAATGTCAAAGAGACAACACGCTTGTATCAAACATAAATCTGAATATCTAAATCGCACAACCGAGTAAGTACATCTTTACCAACAACACAAACCTTAAGACTAAAGAGGTCAAATATTGAGCGCAACAAAATACATCAAACAAAAAATGTATATCTATGTATGATAATAATAAACAAACAACAACGTAAGACAAGAAGAACAAAACAAAAGTAATCAACAATCTTTATCCGAGGGTGTCCCTTTTATGGCTGGATATAAAGGAAAACCACTAGGATTTTCCGAATGTCGGGGGTCGGGTCGTTGAAGATACCACAGTTCAATCGAGGAAGGTGCAAGCATGTGGGTCGGTCTCATAATACAGTGGATGGACGAAATCCACTTCGCACCACCTAAGAAACCACGGTTCAAACCTTTGATTGTTGATAGTTATCGGGGAATCATCCTTCCAGGAACGTTTCTTCAGTGGTGCAAGATTTCGTACATCCACAGCAGGGGACCCCCTCCCCTTTGTTGGCTAAAAGGAAACCATTGCCATTCTATGGGGAACCCGACAATTTTTGAGACCTCCCTACGTGTACAAGATCTCCCCGCGCCTTGCGCTTTGCGCCGGTCCTTGTCCTTGCGCCTGCGCAATTCGAACTTGTGGGCTTAGGGTCGACATGGCTCGTGGCAAAGGCGGCCAACAGGAAACCAACAGCTACCTTTCCTTAGTGGTTCCTTGGTCCCTTGAAAAAAGTTGAACATTTGGTGGGAACAAAGTCCAACATAAAGAGTGCACAAGTTTCTGTGGCCCACTGGCTGTGGTTAAGACATGTTTTGTTTTTGTGTGTTCACTCTAGAGAAGCAACTGGCCATAGGGTTGCTCCAAGGAGTGGCACGAAACACTTTGGCCCCTGGGAAGGAGAATCAAACGAAACCCACATCATACCCTTGCCAGCTTAGCTTTGTGTGGGGTATGTCAAGTGTTCAGGGCTCAGTGATTCTGGTTGAAAACGGATGGAACCCGTGTGGATTTCATTTTTTAATGGGGACCCAGAAAACCCACAATAGGTGCCACTCTCTTCAGGATGGTCCGACAACTGCCCAAAGAGGTCGCTGGACAAAACACAAACACAAACCCGCACATTTGATAGACGTTGGTGTGGGGTCATGTGGCTTCCAAGATCTTGGCATGAGCCCGGGGATCCCATGCAACAATAGGACCCAGCCGAGGGCTGAACAAAAAACCGGTTCCGATTGAGGGACCTCTCTCTTTCATTCCGTTGCACCATCACTGCAGAGCCACGCACTTGCACTGAGAACTCAATGCCAAAAAGAGGGGTTCTACCCTGTGGATGGAGTCGAAATCCGTTGCGCACCGAAACAAGTCGCAGCTCCGTATCTCCGCTGGTTGCGTGTTCCGGCCACCTCAGCTTGTGACTCTGTTCAAACTGTCCGATAACTTGGCATGTGAGCAAAACACAACTTGTGCTTTGCAGCTACCTCCTAAACATGAAAACCCCGGCTGGCAAAAACCTCAAACTTCCAGCCCGGAGAAGCGCAATGCGCCTCTTCTTCCTTCGGCTGCGGCTCCTGAAGA